GAAAAAACTGCGGGTCTACGGAGTGGGAACTTTTCGGATTTGAACTCAGCGTGTTCGAAAGTGTTAGTTCCCGTAAAAATATTTCAGTTCTAAGACATGCTTAATGAAAGTGAACGATATCGGGTCACAACACACGGACTAATGTGGAATTTCCCCCACTTGAGGTATTGATGAAGCTCAGTTTGAAATATGCGGGAATCCGGGTATAAATAAAGCAAACACTCCGCCGGGGGTTGATGTTTCTCCGTTGCCATTTATCATATTTTTCCTACACTGGGTTTCCGCAAGCCAAGCTCGAATGATCGGTGTTTATGTTTAGAAAATAAGAAGTTGTGGAGGGGGAGGTGGTGAAGGGGAAGGGAGAAATGCCTAATTACCTTGCAAAGTTTATAGCGAAATTTCCAATTTTTGACTAAAATTTCGAAACTTCGTTGCAAAGCTCCTTCTCATAATGAACAGATATAAAATTTGCCGTGCGAGCGATGTGATTTCCAACGATAAAATTAAGGATAAACTGATGGACGCACGGCAGGGTTGGCTAAAACAACTGTGCTTATGGAAATCTGTACATTCAACTAAATTGTCCCTATTAAATGAAAATCTCCTAGCACCAAAAACTGCAGTAAACGATGTTCGGAGTTGCGGAAACTGAAACAAATATGAAATTCTTGAATTGAATGTTGCAATAAAGCGTTCGTCAACACAGTCTTGCGATTGTGTGCTTAGTTTTAAATTGATGAATGAAGAAACGTCGTAACGTCAACCAAAAATAAAATTATTACCCTTGTTTCTAACTTAATTAAATTGATCAATAAATATTACGTTAAAATTCACCATGATCTTGCACACATGTCCAATACTATCGAACAGACTCGGATCGTACGCGTTTGGCTCATTGGAATCCAGACGGTGTTGTAAATAAATTAACCAATTATCGTATAAGGAATGATCATTTAATCCCCGAGCTAACGGCGCGGAGCGCCGTTCCGGGTGTAAGCCCGGGGCGAGGGTACTAATTCCGCCCGGCTATTTACACCCGGGGAAAGGAATGCATTAACGAAGTCTAAAGTGGTCCATGGTGTATGGTATATGGTGTATGGGTGGACCTCCTCACTGATCTCAAAATTATGGCGTATCGTCATAAGAAGAGCCACAATGATTGGTCAAATTTAAAATTCCTTTCATGATTTAAAATTCGTTTAATAATCCAAAGGTTGGATCAATGAGTGCGAAACTATATTTTGTACACAATAAAAACAACACACATTTTTTTTATGGGAGAAGGGGTTTTGGGGGTGAAGTACTCCTGCGCAGTTTATGCCAAACGCCATCCCTCCTCATCGTCACATACCTAATACTGTAACCTAATACTGTAGTGAACTGGTAATTTTTTCAGGTGTAGCGACCCCCTGACGTACCTGACCAAGAACACACTTGGACAGTCCCTAACCTGCCCAATTGGGCAGTCCCTAATCTGTCCAAGGTCCGCAGAACCGCTTAGACAGTCCCTATTATTTCAAATATATATTTCTATGTGACGTTGCTAGAGTCCATGGGCAATGAAGTTCACATATTGGAATACTTCTTCCCAAACCCAAAATTTATTTATTTTCTAAATAATGTACAATAACGAGAAACTAATTGAATTGGTTACCATATTGTAGGATTTGTGTCCATACAGTTTAGGCACGTGAAACGTTAACAAGTACGTTGAACCTCTTATTGTCTTTGGAGATTTTTTAGCCAGAGGCATAAGTTTTTTAAGCGGCTAGAGTATATTAATTATTTATATTCTCAAGATACCGCTCGTTGGCACCTTAAATTATCTTGATGCTACTCTACCTATATATAGTAACATCCTTTCTGTTAACCAATATGTGGACAGAATGTATGGAAGCAAGCATAGTAACCGATGTGGCCAAGTTTTGATGGGTTGGGTGGGTGGGATTTTAATTTTTTGAGCTCGAAGATACGTTGTGGAAGAGCTCTGCAACTCTCCGCAACGCAGGCAGCGATACGAGTCGGACGTGTTTTTTTCGCTCCGCTAAAATCTATTTCAAAGATGAATGCTAATAAAGACAAGGGAATTAGCCTTCTACATAATATATCGCTCAATGATAAAGATAAGCTGAAATGGACAGGAACATTTCAAGCGTTGCAAATGTTTGTTGAAGAAGGGCTAAATATATCTAATGGCATTTGGTCTTCCCCTGGTGGAGATGCAAAGCAATTTAAAGCTAAAGATATAGACTTGCGATGGTATTCCGACACCCAATCTATCACGCTTAATGGAAAACTTAAGGAAGCAACCAAAGAGCAGTTGATTTCGTTGGCTTCGGTGTCAAAACGACTTAGTGCCGTTGAAGAAAGCGAAGCAGGGAATCAGGACAGCTATAATGAGAACGTTAGCTTCGAGCAATCGAGCGAGTCGGAGAAATCAAGCGAGTCGCATTCGTTGGAAAAGTCGAGCGAGTTGCATTCTAAAGAAAGCAAAGCAGGGAATCAGGACAGCTATAATGAGAACGTTAGCTTCGAGCAGTCGAGCGAGGCGGAGAAATCGAGCGAGTCGCATTCTTTAGAATATCTAAATAATCAATTAGAAGCACTAAATAAAGCAGTATCTACCAATACAGCTGCTATAAAGTCGCTCATTGAAAACACGAATGACAGTAAACAGCCAAATTATCAAGAATTAGAAAACGAAATTGCCATACTAAAAGAAAAGAATCGTAAACTTACGGATAAGAATGCGAAACTTAAAGTCGAGAACAGTGACTTGGAAGCGAGAATTAACAACTTAACCTATATATTAGCCGATTTGCAAGGAAAGGCGAAGAGTGCCGAGCAAGAAAAAGAAAGTCTAATTACTGCTATGAGACTACTGGTCGAAGATTCGAACAACGAACCCAACGCCACAATTAAGAATTACACTGGTGAAACGAGTAAACAAAGCGAGACACAGGATTCAGTTGATTGCGCTGGGCAAACAAAAGAAGTATTGAATCCGAATATTCAAGTGAGTAATAGATTTTCCAACCTTAACACTGAGGAAAGTAATGCAGATGACGTGGATGTTACGCAGAATGACCTTGTTACCGCTCGTACAGAACCAGCAACGAAACCTAAACAAGTAAATGAGAAATATAACAGAAGGCATCATACTGGCAGCAAAGAAACGAAGCAAACTTATCATCACCCTCGTCCTAACGTTGCTATCGTGGGAGACTCGATGCTCAAGCACATAAATCCTACACAGCTAAGGAGAAGTACAAGGAGCTTTAACACTCAAATCAAGACGTTTCCAGGTGCGAAGGTAAGCGATATGGAATATTATGTTAAACCTACTCTGGCCCGTACACCCGACCATTTGATTCTGCATGTCGGTACAAACGACGTGAGACAAAGTACACCACAAGAGATAACAAATGCCATATCCATGCTTGGGCAACAGATCAAGAAGGAACTACCTACAACGAATCTTGCTATTTCCGAAGTAATTACAAGAAATGATGACCCAAGTCTGAATACGAAAATTACAGAACTTAATACTAAGCTATCCCAGGTATGTACCAATAATAAGTGGAAGATCATTACCCACAGAAATATTTCCTCTGAACATTTGAACCCATATGGGCTCCATCTTTCTAAACAAGGAACAGCTAAATTAGCCCAGAACTTTACAAACTATCTAAAAAATCCTAATTGACCATCTACCGATGCTCCACCCCCTCCACAACCTGTTACCAATACAATAAGGCCAGTAAAGCAACCAAACCCTATTCTTCCTAAACTTAAAGGTTTCAAAGTAGCACAACTTAACATCGCTAGCTTGCCTAAACACTATGAAGAACTACTTATTTATATGCGTGATGAACCTTTCGATATATTGACCTTAAATGAAACTAGATTAGACAGTACTTTCCTAGACTGTGAAGTACAGATACCTGGTTATGATATTGTCAGATCTGACCGAAACAGACATGGGGGAGGGGTAGCTATATATATAAGGACTATCATTCCATATATCGTACGTGAAGATTTATTACAAGATACTCTCGAATTGCTTTGTATTGAAGTTAGAAAACCCAAAAGTAAACCAGTGCTTATTTCAACTTGGTATCGACCACCGAGTGCAAAAATTGAATTATTCCAAAAGTTCGAAAACTTCTTGAAGCTGATTGATAATGAAGACAAAGATATTATCATAACCGGGGATCTTAATTGTAATTTTATTGAGCACACTCAAAACCAAGCTACTTCTAAGTTAATTGATATTATTGATATTTTCCAACTGCAGCAACACATACAAACCCCTACTAGAACTACTTATAATTCTTCGTCTCTGATTGATTTAATTCTTACACATATCAACGATGATAAAACCTTAGAAGCCGGGGTTGTTGACCTTGGGATTAGTGACCATAGTCTTGTTTATATATGTCGGAAAATTAGCATTCCTAAAGAGCCACCAAAAATTGTATTTACACGACAGTTCAAAAATTACAACTCCCACCAATTTAAAGAAGAGCTAAGCTACTATACTAATCTAGATCCCACATCGAATGATCCAAATGTGCTATGGAATGAATTTAAGAACAACTTTCTTACTATTGCTGAAAAACACGCGCCAGTTAGACAGCGTCGCGTTAAGAGTGAGCATAAACCATGGCTGACGAAAGAAATAAAGCGTTTAATGCATCATAGGGATTATCTTAAAAGACAGAGTGTTCGTTTAACATCGAGTAATTATAACGAGGCCTACAAAAGATGCAAGAATAAATTAAATAAGCTTATTAAAAAGACTAAGGAAGAATACTTTAAAACGAAGTTATTTAATGCAAATAATAGCAAAGAGAGTTGGCAGGCTATTAATGAGCTATTAAACAAAAAGCCCAAAACTACCCATGTAACACAGCTAAATGTAGATGACCAAGTTATAACTGGAGACACAAATATTGCGGACTGTTTTAATCAGTATTTTTCATCCATCGGTTGTAAACTGTCAAAAAATGTCCAAAATATTAATGTTGACCCTATGACATTTGTCACTCCTACGGAGAGTTCGTTTCATTTTTCATGTATTTTAGTCCAAGAGACTTTTGACGCCTTAAACCAACTTAATTCAAGGAAATCACCAGGACTGGACGGCATAAGTGTAAAACTATTAAAAGATACAAGCGATGTTATCGCGCAACCATTAGCCAACATCTTTAATCTATCTCTTCAGACTGCAATTTTTCCGGACGAGTGGAAAATCGCCAAGGTATCACCAGTCTTTAAAGAAGGGAATAAAACTGATTGCGGAAATTATAGACCAATCTCTGTAATTTCTGTGGTTGCTAAGCTGTTTGAAGGGCTAGTGTACAATCAATTGAGAACGTTTATTGCCGACAATAGCATTCTTGTAGAGCAACAGTCCGGTTTTCGTTCACAACACTCTACTGAGACGGCACTCTTAGGTTCGACAAATGAGTGGTTATATAACATGGACAGTGGCTTAATCAATGGAGTCCTGTTCTTGGACTTGAAAAAAGCTTTTGACACTGTCGATCATGAAATCTTATTAAAGAAACTTCACCTATACGGCATAAAAGGAACTACTTACGCATGGTTTGAATCTTACATCCAAAATAGGAAATCGATTTGTTTAATGAATGGGAAAAAATCACATGCTAGAGAAATTAGGTGTGGGGTACCACAAGGTTCTAACCTTGGCCCCATCCTATTCCTCTTGTATATTAACGATCTACCTAAGTGTCTAGAAACAACCAAGGCTAACTTGTTTGCTGATGACACAAATCTTTCATGTGCCGGCTTAGATGCCAATGAAATCGAGACTAAACTTAAAAGAGATCTTGAGAATGTTCATAGTTGGCTTAGATGTAACAAGCTCACGCTAAACGATAGCAAAACGGAATTTATGATAATTGGCTCTAGACATCATCTTACTAAATTTGAAGACAACCCAGAGATTTCATTAGCCATACGAGATAATAATATTAAACGGGTCACCAATAAAAAATCCCTTGGTTTTATCATCGACGATCAATTAAAGTGGGGTATACACATTGACGCACAATGTAAAAAAATCTCAAAAAATATCGCATTACTAAGAAGAGCCAAGTCCTTTGTTCCTTTACACATTTTAATCAAAATGTATAATGCTCTAGTATCTCCTCACCTGACATATTGCTCAACAATATGGAATGATGGATCTAATACCATTCTTAACAAACTCTCTAAGTTACAAAGAAGAGCAGCCCGGGTTATCACAGGACAATCATACGATGTTCGTTCCACTCAAATACTAGAAAGTCTCAATTGGATGCCAATTGAAGACATTTTAAAGAAAAGAGAAATCATTATGACGTTTAAAGCTTTAACTAACAGACTACCTGATTGTGTGCAGAATTTCTTCACGAGATGCGAAAATAGTAATTATTCTCTAAGAAGCAATAATGTTAAACTATCTTTGCCTAAACCAAGAACCAACTTTCTTAAAAGAAGTTTCTCTTATAGATAGAGCAGCACAAGGGTGGAACGAATTATCGGATGAAGTAACTAATAACATTCAGGATTTATCTTTACCCAATTTCAAAAGGCGTTTAGCCCTTAACCTTGCACATGAATAATGTATAATGCATTTCCGAAATTAATGGAGTGTGTAATAATTATGTGCTGTAATTAACTGTAAATATCCATAGTTAATGTGTGTTTAATACTATATAGCACGGCCCTTTGAAAAACAGACTGTATATATTATACTGAATAGGCTACCGTGTTAAAAGAAATTTTATTAAAGATTAAAGATTAATGACATAAATTGTGCGTGATGCATAACTTATGCTCCTACTTGTCTTCCGATTGGCAGTTGATTATAATTGGAATACGTAACAGCTTTTCGTTTGCTAGGTGCGTTTTGGTTCATTTATATTCGCGTGAACACAGTGCCGCCTTAGAAAATAGCCCTTTGATCCACCAGATAATAGCCGGAAGTGTTGCCTTGCACCCTGTCAAAGTCGGCATATATATTATACTACATGTGGCTTGCTTCAACATGTTGTCTTATTAACTGAATTTAAACATTTTAAATTGGCTTTATTAATCCAAAGGTTGGATCAATGAGTGCGAAACTATATCTTGTACACAATAAAAACAACACACATTTTTTTGTGGGAGAAGGGGTTTTGGGGGTGAAGTACTCATGCGCAGTTTATGTCAAACGCCATCCCTCCTCATCGTCACATACCTAATACTGTAACCTAATACAGTACTGAACTGGTAATTTTTGTCAGGGGTAGCGAACCCCTGACCTACCTGACCAAGAACACACTTGGACAGTCCCTAACCTGCCCAATTGGGCAGCCCCTAACCTGTCCAAGGTCCACAGAACCGCTTAGGCAGTCCCTATTGCTAACCTGTCCAAGTTCCACAGAACCGCTTAGACAGTCCCTATTATTTCAAATATATATTTCTATGTGACGTTGCGGAGTCTATGGGCAATGAAGTTGTCATATTGGATTACTTCTTCCCCCAAAACACATGATAGTGTGTTCCCCATAGACGAACTTCCCTCCCCCGAATTTTTTTTTTGACTGCACAGTTAAATGGATGAAGCAGTCATTGTGCCTGATACATTAGACAGGGTCGATGATGGAATACGTCTGTATCGTTTATACCGGCACCTAGAACGTCATAACATCACAGCCGCATACTTTAACCGCTGAGCTACTAACCAACTCGCTAAATCTAACCAGCTCGCTAAAGCTAACCAGCTCGCTAAAGCTAACCAGCTCGCTAAAGCTAACCAGCTCGCTAAAGCTAACCAGCTCGCTACAGCTGTAATCGTATATAGAAGACAGCTACTGCCTGATGATAGTAAGGCATATATTTGAGCATTACCATCACTCATACTACACCTGGATAGTCAGGGAGGCCAGGAAAAACCTGCAATATAGGAAACCTGGATAGGGCCAAGACAACCAGTAAGCTCCCCACAAAGCTTCTATCTTACAAGTTCTCAATTGGAGGGTTGGTAATACGACAAACATAGTCGACCATCCAGGCTTTTTTGTAAATTTATTTATTTATTCATTCATATATTATAAAAGTTCATTTGTTCGTTTAGTGTTTTGATTCTCTCAATATTTTAAATAAAATTCCTGAAAACGTGATCCCGGTCATTCTAACCCAGAGTCGCTCGAGCATGTCCGAAATGAGCCGAAATTGTAAGATTTAGAATATTTATTTTGCAGACTTAATAGATCATATTTGTAACCGACTGAAACGCAATGTCTCAATTTGCATAAAACAATGTTATTCTAGCAACGTGTCTATATTCAAGCAAAGCAAGAGTACGCAGGATGTAATATTCAATGTGTATACCTATGTTATAGCATACTTTCAGTTAGCAGTTCGCCTTTCAAAATATTGAATTTTTTTGAAACCTGTGAAAAAAAAAGTTGAGATTTGAGTTCAACTCGTTTGAAATAGCACAATAATTTATCTAGTGATACGGATATCACTTTAGGAAATTTTTAAATGATTAGAGAAGTATATTGTAGTGCCAAACGTTCATTAAACCCAACCATTGAAATTATTACAAATGCTTAAAATGCATTACTCGATAGTAACAATATGAAATCAACGTTTTCACAGTGTTTCCACAACGGAACATTCAAATTTATTTCTTTTGCCAAAGAATTTCCTTGAGTTTCCTTGAAATGAGATGTAATTTCCTTGAAATTTCCTTGATTAACCGAAGTATATTTCGGCAACTAGAATTCATCAGCTTGTATAGGGCAAGACAGAAACAGAATGGTACATTTCTTTCGTACAAATCTTGAAAAGAAAGCCTTCAATAAATTCACAGTCATGACAGCCATGTTGAAAAATACTCTACCGTGTATAAGCAGCTAACACGCGGTGGCCTGCACGCAGCACGCTACCTAAAATTCAGGTTGTGTGCAGCCTACTTAGTTTAATTAATAATTCTAGATTCTACTGACTCGCACACAGGCCCCGAAAGAGGTTTTTTATTTATATAGCGGTTATGAGCGAAGGAAAGTAACATATATAATTTATAATTAATGAAAGGTTCCTGAAAGAATCTTCAAAACATTTCTGTTGACTCAAAAATTTCTTAAATTTCCTTACAATTTTCAAAAAATCCTTAGATTTTCTTTAGATTTAAAATATCCTAGAAAAAGGAAATTTCCTTGAAAGTGGAAACACTTCGTTTTCATAAAATTTACTCGTGAGTGATTGAATATAGTAGTTGAAAATGAAGCGCGATATGTGGCAGAATTTGACACCCAGGTAGTAAAATTCACAGTACCACTGAAATAGAAATCGATTGGATTACACTATATCAGATATTTGCGATGAAAATAGATGAATTTACTACGAGAGACTAACGAGGAAAGAGAAGCATACCTGGAAAAACGCAGAGAAACATGGAAGAGGAAGACTGCCGAAGCCAAAGGTAAGCAAAGAGAGTATATAAGAGTGTTTAGGCAACAAAAAGAGGCATCAGAAACTGCCGAGGAAAGAGAAACTCGATTAGGAAAACGCAGAGAAGCTTGGTAAGAAAGGTCTGCCGAAGCCAAAGGTAAGCAAAACGAGTATATTAGAGTGTTTAGGCAACAAAAAGAGGCTTCAGAAACAGCAGAGGAAAGAGAAACTCGATTAGGAAAACGAAGAGAGGCTTGGCAAGAAACGTCTGCCGAAGCCAAAGGTAAGCAAAACGAGTATATTAGAGTGTTTAGGCAACAAAAAGAGCCTTCAGAAACAGCAGAGGAAAGAGAAACTCGCTTAGGAAAACGCAGAGAAGCTTGGCAAGAAAGGACTGCCGAAGAAAAAGGTAAACAAAACGAATATAATACGGTGTACATGCAACAAAAACGAGATTCAGAAGCAGCCGAGGCAAGAGAAACTCGCTTAGCAAAACGAAGAGAAGCGTGGAAAAAAAAAGACTGCAGAAGCTAAAGGTAAGCAACACGAGTACATTAATAGATTGCATAATATAGATAAAATGCAAAACGACACTGTAGAAGAACGAATTAACAGACAGGCTTCAAAAGACAAAACAAATACGACCATCCGAAACAGTTAATGAACGAGCAAGAATACTTGAAATTTTAAGAGCACATTTTCCAACAGCAGTTGCAAATGAAAATGGCCAAGAAATTAGGCAGGATGAAACAGACGAAAGGAGGATGTCTATGGATGAAGCTATGGATGCAACTCTACTGGTTAGTGAAGCAGCTGAGGAATGTGTATCTGTGCATGAAGCAAATGGGATGGTAAGTGTACCTGCTCATGCTGCAAATGAGCAGTTAAGTATGTCTGTTGATCAAACTATAGATATATCTGTTTCTGAAGCAGATGAGGAAACAGGGCCCGCGGAGCGTATTAGAGAGTGGGGGGGCTAAATCATCAATAAAACCCCCAATTAATTAATTTAGAAAGTTTCATTTAGATTTCTATTTTAATAATTTTGGCTGTCAAAAAAAGTGGGGGGGCTAAGCCCCCCCGTCTCCGCGGTCCCTGGGAAAGTGTGTCTGTTCATGAAGCAGAGGGGGTGAGTAGAAATGAATATTTACATGTGGGTGGTTGGCAAAATGTTGACAACCATTTGCATGAGCTAGAGTTTGTACAAAATGCAATGCACAGTTTTCATTTAGATCAAGAACATTTAGAGCATCGACAATGTACAATTTGCAAAGAAGCTTGGCCGACACGGCAGAACTTGACATCAGAACTATACATTTGTTACCGGTGTAAAAGAGACAAGAAATCACCTAAGAAATTCAGTGCCGAGAATGACATGGACCCAGGAATAGTTCCTGAACAATTGAGAGGTTTGACACAGGTAGAAGAAATGTTAATTTCAAGGGTATGAGAGTGTATAGAAAACGGACGGCAGAGGGGGTATAAAGGGCATGTACTTAACTTACCTCAAGATATTCAAAGTTTCTTGAATAGGTTGCCTTCACGTGTGGCAGACTTGCCCGTTTTGATTGTACGAAGACATGGTGCAGAAAACACACATCGAGATTTTACTGTGCGTCGGCACAGAGTTCTTGAGTCTGTGTTTTGGATGAAGACGAACAATTCCTTCTTTAAAGACATAGAAATTGATCGAGATATTATTCTAAGTTTACCAGAAAATGGTATTCCAGATGAGCTAAGGTATGTCATTGATGAAAATGAAGTGTCAGTTCATGTTGAAAATGAGGGCCTCCCCAAGACGGCAAGACCCTGTAATGAGTGCTAATGCTAGTGTTGAAGAGTTAGTTTTAGGACATGGTAGTACATCCTTTATTCTTATGCGTCAAAGAAGGAAAAAAGATGGTGCGGCTATCCAAGATGCAGTAAATGAGGTTGATCCATTAGACTGGCCATCTACTGAAGGTAATCTCGTTAATGAATTTAACACAGATGGTTTAGCTACTGGCATTCCCTACATTGTTTCCTTATGGGAAGGGTGACCCAACCAATAGGGCGAGACAACATGGTATAACGTTAGCAGAGGCTTTCAAATACTTAATGCAGTTTGCAGAGAGGCAGGCAGATGGTAAGTTTGAATGGAGGCTTGCTTCTCACCCACGGTTTCCTTATTGGGCATTGAACATGAAACAACGGCATCAGCTGTTGTCACAAACGAATGTTTACTTACGTCAACATCCTGCTGATGCAAACATGACAATGGAAGAATTGAAGGAGATGGTCAATTCCATGAGTGCAAATCAAATGGTGAATAGGTTGCAACGCTATGTGTCCAAAGTACAAGGTACGAATCAGACCTGGTATCAGCGGCTGCAGGAATTGCCAGCCCTGATTGAACAAAAAGGCTGCCCTACTTTTTTCTTTAACTTTAGTGCAGCTGACATGCATTGGCCAGACTTACAAAGGCTGTTGCAGAATGAGGAAGGTGCAACCAGAACTGAGCGAGCACAAGCTGTAATCGACAATCCCCAACTTACTGATTGGTTCTTTATCCAGCGGCTGCAAGAGTTTAAGTATTCATTGCCATGGATGTGCAAAGTTAAAAAATGACCCCGATATATTAGGAAATTACCTAATAAGGCATGTTTTGCATTCGTAGAGAATGAGACAACAAGGCATGAAATGTCACCTGATGATTTTGAATTCCTTTGCCGGGATGTGATAAGAGAGGGCGAAGATGCTGAGAAGTTGTTAATACAGTAAGGAATTATTTTATATACTATTATTATCTTTGCAATGAGTAAATCATGCCGACTATGCAGAACCTGTTGTGGGATATGCAATATATATTTTTATTCATTGATGAAATTATTTGATGGCCATGAAACTGTTTCAATAATGATGACTTCATCCCGCCACAGGCCTTTGACAATTGATAAATTGTGACAAATTTATGCTGATATTAAATGGCCGGATTTTGATAGGGTTCAGTTAATACAGAATACCAGATCCGCTTCTCATAACATATAGTTTTGCAGTTTCAGGAATATCTTACCTCCTATACTGTATTTTGCACTTTCACTTCAAAATACCACGAAAACTGTAAAAGGCATGCTCTCGTGGATGTCAAATGTTCATGTCAACTAAAAAGCGAATTCGCTATTGTGTAACTTACTGTAATTACTGGTGCCTATATTGACTATTAACTAGAAATTACTATCGCAAGGAAAGTGCTGCCTCCCCCCCCCTTCCATCACATAAACACGAAAAGCACCCCTAAGACACCTGTTCAGGTGGTAGAAAAAGTGCAATCTGAATATGAAAACACTTTGCACAAAATCGAAGCTCAGCTAAATATTCCAATTGTATCGACTTCCACAAATTCCCTACTCTTCAAGAAATTACTTCCTTGAAAATTCCTTCGTTCTAAACAAAGATGAAGGACTTTGTGAAAGTCTACATGTCATGCTATGCAAGTTTTTAATGATTTGCATTATTCAAATTGATGCAGGTTTATTGGCATATCATAACCAGTTGCCATGGCTAGCTTGCCACTGAATACTGTACAATATCATATATAACAAATGATAATAATTAATACTTAAATGAATCATTTGATATGCAGAATTTAATAACAATTTCATACATAGAAATACTACCAGTAAGTCAGTTTTTGCCTCAATTATCATTTTAATGGTACTTTCAAAAATACCACTACCGCAGAACAACAGAACAATCTGCCGATGGGGAGACAAAATCTATTTTGTTGACATTTTTGTTTAATACGTCAGCTTCATATGACACCATTCATTGTGTAAATGATTAAGATTGCAATTGTTTAATATGTCAGCTTCATATGACACCATTCTTTTTATAAATGATTAAGATTGTACTCAGTCAGAACTGTAAAACTATATAATAAGAAAGAAATTGTGAGCATTATGGAAAAAAGTCAAATAATTTTTCATTCGTGTACAATTGTGTGTTACAATTTGGACATCTACTGCTCATTTGACCTTATGCATAATGATGTCACAAGGCTTGATGCCTGCGAGGAATGCTGGTCTTAAGCTATGGGCAAACTAGGGAACGTTGCAGAAACATTTGTGATTCTCGATGTTTCCTCAGACGTTTCCCTGTTCGCCCACCCTGTTCGTCCACGCCTGTTCGTCCGCAACAACGTTTCCTAGTTTGCCCAGGACTTTAGTAGTAATCGCCCACACAAATAACAGTGACAGTTCCGTATATAAGTACGTTGTAGTTACCAAGTGTGGAGCATGTGCGACGCTTTAGCTCGGCGTTTACGAAACTTTTGAAAAGAACGCATGCGCGATAGTTTGACACACTGGTGGACGCAGCGCATGCGTGGAATCAGGACTCAGGGAAATCGCGCCTGTCCCGCGAGTTCGAGACATATGCGACAGCCGACAGTGCGAGACAATGGTGCCAGACGGCTCAGAAATTTGAAATTTGTATACAAAACAAATTCATATTTACGCCACGTTTTTAAATTTAATAGTGAAAATATTTAAGTAAATATATATTATTCACATGTGTTTGCTTGTCGAAGGTTGAAATTTAAGGAATATGGCTAGCCAACTCGATGAATCGACTGGAAAAGTGAAGATGAATTCGCCAATTATAAACCTTGAAGAGGCAGCACCGATGTTGGTTTCTAGTACTGATACAAAAGGTACACAGCTTTATACTTTTATATTTTGTACTGTTTTGTTTCCTGCTTTGACGATAGTTGATAGTTTACACATACAATAAATATTATTACTAACATTAAATGTTGTTGGTAAAAACCCCCCCCCCCCCCCCGTAAGATTTCTCATCTAAATGGTGATCAAGAAGTTATGTTAGAAGTTAAGTTCGGCTTGGGAGGAACTAACGATGAGGGAGGGTTGACCTTTGAGCCATAATCATTCCCATCATGCACCATTATTTTTTCAATCCTAGTCGAGAGACTAGGTACAAATAAGGTACACTTGGGGACTATAATGGTGATACTGGGATGGAGTAACAGGTTATAGGTAGGGACTGTGTATTCGCTGGTTGCAAGTGGACGACAAAAATTCTAATAAAACTTATCAACCCATTCAGTGCCAGAGTTCTCCCCTTGACGAATAAAGTTGTAGTGTTAGACTCATGTACCGTACAATTATAATAAACTGGGGTACATTAGGGTGCAATGGAGTAGGTTAGACCATTGAGTGGCAGCACTCTCCTCCTGATGAGTAAAATCGTCTGGCATTAGACAGAGTAAAATAATAAAGTAGCGCGCATTGCCACTTAAAGGGTTAACAGGGCACATGGGCTGATTAACCCATTGAGTGGTAGCACTCTCCCCCTGATGAGTAAAATCATCTGGCATCAGTAAAATAATAAAGTAGGGTACTTAGAGACCTAACGCTGACATACCTAATAACTTTAATATGCAGTAAAATATATACAAAAAGACATGCAATATAATGTTATACTATCCGTGCATAATCTTAATTACTTATTCTACTTGCTTAATTACTTATATTATTTATTTATTATATAAAACAAATTACCTATTAGTGCATTTGCTCTAAATACCTCTAATCTTAAAGTATTACTCTGTGTAATGCTATGCCTATGTTTTTACTTCTTGTACCTAAAATTTTATCCATAATCAAACAGTTGTTTTGCTTGCCTGGCCGGGTCAAGTATGTCAGGCTGTATAACTAGCACGAAGGGCTGAACTACAACTTGGTTGAAGGATTTGAAACTCTAAATATATGGCAGTAATGGCATGGAGAATTAATGAATCAATACTACAGCCTAATGTAGCTAATTAGTAGAATATTATAAGCTAGGAGGTAACCACAACTTCCATTAATGGGTTTTTGAATAACAAAACTGAACTCTTACAGTTATTGGTTATTATATTAATATGTAGATTTCCCATTTCAGTAAAAACCATGTTTAACCCATTAGGCAGCAATGTACCCTACTTCAGTCTTTTACTCTGTCTAACGCCGGACAATTTTACTCGTCAAGGGGAGAGTCTTGCACTCTTGAGTTAATATTTATGATTGATATGGTATTTTATTTTTTTCTGTGCATATAGGAAAAAACCATTAATTAATTAACCCAATGAGTGGCAGCACTCTCCACTTGACGAGTAAAATCGTCTGGCGTTAGAGAGAGAGTAAAATACTAAAGTAGGGCGCTTCAGGGTACATTGCCACTTAAAGGCTCAATGGTAAACATTAAACATGGTTTTTACTAATTTACCATATCAGAAATCTATAATAACCACTAATGGTAACCTATAATAACCATACATTTACAGTATGCATGGTAAATCTTTAAAAACCATTCAAAAACCATTAATGCAGAAATTATTAAAAATCCTCCTGTGTAACATTACTGTAGCTATAATCATTTTCACAATTTATATATGACATATATTATGATAACTTTATATATACAGGGTGTATTAAAAAAATGTAATTGAACTTCAGCCCGCTATTAATTGTCTCTGAATTTTTTCATATTCGGAAAGATCAGGCTTTTAGCTGTGAAACGACTACCTCCTCCGCAGGCCTTTCAAAAAAATAAAATTGGTGGGAAACGAACGGAAAGGCCTGCGGACTAATTTTCCAAAATGGCGGGAACCACAAACCAAATTATATTTAATATATCATTTTACCGGAACAATATTATTATTAAAGCCTTTAACTACTTCTGATATAGACCGCTTTTCGTATCCGCAATATACATATATAAAAACAGTGAATACTAAACAAATAAGCATATATAATGATTTATAAAGAGAAGCAGATAAATATCAGTTTATATAATTTGCATATTACAAACACGCAGCGCTTTTATGTAACACGTCGTATGTCAGGCATGCGGCCGTTTATCCACGAAATTTATTCCATTTATATTTGTCTTTTATACAGTGTAACTATATAAATGCGTGTGTATATCAGTGTGACCAGGTTTAGTACATTTTATTACCAGATCCGGTTGGATGCCCTTAGACAACCCCACCTGCTTTAAACAACTGCAACATTAAGAACAGGAGGGGGCAGCCAACCAATTTTAAGCAGCTTTAGTAAAAAAAAATTGCATATATGGTCACACTGCATGGTGTATATAGTCAAGACCCCAGTCAAAACATCTCATTTGGCCAAATGATAGATTCACAACGTCTATTATCACAGTCGCTTGTGCTTGTAAAACCCTCCATTATTTGAATCTCCTCGTCGCTTTTATCAGCCATAACTGCCAAGATGTATTTAGAAAATACTCGCAAAACGGGATTGTTAAAGATTGGCAGACGATGTGCCATATTTTTGAAGAAATTTGATCCAACCGAGTAATCGACACTATAAGCCAAGTAATGAACATGTTATTCAGCAGGCCTTACAGCTACGGTCAGCAAGCCTTCATCTCAAATTTCAAATTTCAACCTGCAAACGGGAATACTCATTACGGGCTGTATGGGTAGTGTTAAACGATATGTTCTTCATGTCAAATTGATAAAAATGAGGAAATATAAATTGGATAAAAAGTTTAAAAATGTTGGAAGCGAAACCAGGATCCATAATTAACTGTGTAAACGTTCTTGCTCATTTTTTCTCCACTTGGCATGAAAAACATGTTATTCAATTGGTAAAAGCCTGATTTTTCTGAATATGAAAAAATTTGTTCATACACGTACAATAACCCTCCAACCTCAAGCTAATCATCTCTCGATTATGAAATGTTTCTAATGTCTGGTCCAGTCTGGCATGAAGCTGAGTACGGACTCTAATCTATAATAATTATCAAATCTTAAAATTAGCAATGTTATTTCCATTCTGCCTGGAAGTCCAGTTATTCATAGCCAGAACTCATGAAATAAGGCTCAGGGTTTTTTTCCGGATTTTCTCTTGGGTCCGTTTTTGCAGAGAAGATTGAGTTTAGCTGAACAGCTAGGGTGGCTGCACCCCTCCCCCCCCCCCCCTGGGGGGCTGACACTTGTACTCAATAAATGTAGTTGAGACGGAATGTGTTATTTAAAGCAGGGGCACTGAGGGACACTATAAACAGGTTAAAGATGGCGAATGCATAGTTTTTCTTGTGTTGTGAGGTGAATTTCAGCCATTTTTCCTTAATTGTCGGGTTTCCAACTGAAAACTAATTTCCACATGCCACGAATTTAACTCAAACAACTTCATTTTTACTGCACTGAAACTTTGGTGAGAAGATCGAGTTTCAAAACTCAATTCAAGATTGAGTTTTGGGGCCGTTTAACGGCCCTAAAAAATCCCTGAAAAAAAACCCCTGAAGGCTGTGTATACACACCTGTTATCAAGCTGTAATAATTCACACTAAAATAGTCCAGCATAGACCACAGCAGTGGCCTCACTTCGGGCTTCATTCATCACTGGAAGTTCTTGCCACACTTGACGATCAAGGTCAAAACATTCCACAGAATCAAGATATTTCTTTTCAAACCAATCATAACCTCCCATTACAATAACTTTGTTGCCAGCAATTGTTGCTCCACATGACGACCTTGCATGCTTCATCGATGGCAACATCTTATGCTTATTCTCCTTCACGCTGTAGAGAATCACTGTGTTTATTAAAGACACAGACGTATTAGTGGTGCCTCCAATAATGATGACATTGTCATTCCATCTTACAGTAGCTACATCACAATTTGCAAATGGCAAAGGTTGCATTTCTTTCTTTTCATCACTCACTGTATTATAAGATAATACAGAGTTAACTGCATTTTGCATTGAGGATGATGTTGATCCCCCAAATACAAACACTGACTCTTCAAAAGCTTGAAGCCCATGAAAACAGATTGGCTGTGTCATTTGACATTTCAATTCTATGGTGTATGGAGGAAGAAGTAAGATGCTGTAAATGGCACCACAAGAATTTCCCTCATTGAATCCACCGACCAAATAAAGACAGTTGTTAATAACAACAACTTTATGTCCACATATCTTCAGTGGCAATTTGACGGGGAAAGGAATCCACCTTAACGGCTTGCAGACCAATGATAATTTTTCTATTGTATCACTACAACCTAGGAGGGATGGTTCCGAGCGTCCTCCACTGACAATGACATCATTTCCATACATTACTGATGCAGCAGAACCACGGGATTCTTGCATGGATTGCAACACTTTCCATGTCTGAGAACCTGGATACAAAGCTTCAACAGAGCACAGGTTACCCTCTGCATTCTTGCCACCAATAACCATGACAGTAGCAATAACGTTTGGTGGGGGTGCTTGTGGTATGTTTTGTTTATCATGTGCCAAACTTTGTACTGACTTCAATATCTCTTTCTGGGAATGATCCATTTCTTTCTGGGAATTGTACATTTCTTTCTGCGAACAATACATTTCTTTCTGTGAATCACATATTTCTTTCTGGGAATTGCACATTTCTTTCTGAGAATTGCAAATTTCTCCCAAAACGTTCTTTATTTCTGACCATTCTAGTCCCAATTTGTTGAGATCCTTACTAAGTACACATGCATGCTTACTGAACTTCTTATAAATCATTTCATCCTCACAGTCAGGGCAATGTACCAGTCTGTACTCACATGCACTGATCACGTGTTCAGTCAGATCTTCTTGGTTGAATGTTTGTCCACATTTCTCATTTGTACAAACAATGGGACGGTAGTTACACTCAGGAACATGTGCTTGTAGTCCTGAAACTGGTAGCACCTCAGTACAACCTCTTTCCGAGTGATCACAGCTAATCATAAGACCATTCAAATAATCTGTAAGAATCCTAGGAGGCTGAGCCAATGTTTCCTCGCTCAGATCTTGCACACATATAGGGCATGATTTCGCATTCTTTTCAAGGTGTTTCTTTATGCAGTTCTTGCAGAAATAATGTTGATTTTGACATTGAACAGGATCTTTTAAAACTTCTGCACAGATTGGACAAAGAAAGTTGCTATCCACAGTAATTTTGAAGCGATTTGTGCTGTAACCTGAACAGCACGCCATTATCTATCAGCCTTTCAAGTTCAAGGATTTTAAGGAATGTTGGTAAATCGTGCTTCCATTTATAAATCGAAATTTCATTTTTCGTCGTGGTTTTGATTGATATCAATGACGTGAAACGCGAAAAACCAATTTATACATTGTCCCATAAGTCAATGCAAGTCGTTGGGGAGCCAATAAATATCATAAGAACCACAGGAGGCCCAGGCTCGATTTGCCCGCGAAGGAAGGCACATGCGGGCGCGGGCAAATCGAGCCTGGGCCTCCTGTGAGAAAACGCGCGAAGAGAAAGGAAAAACCTCTGGGGAATTTGTTAGCGATTCCTGGTTCAGATAAAGAATGCAAAAAATGTATAATGGCTTAATGCATCATATTCTAAAAATATTATCCAATCATTATCCTTGACGCCAGGCCGTCTGGACAGGGTATTATTTAATAATATCATAGTTGCCGCGAAATCCTTTGTCTCGCGAGGTACGATTAATCACTAATTTACCTCATTGCTAAAATGTGGTAAAATTAGTTCTAATTTTCCCCTGCATGCTTGATGAGGGATATTTAATTAGAAGACAAACGCGTACCTCATTACCTCTGATTGGAGAGCTGTACCTCATCGAAAATCATCGGCACAACTATGGACAGCATCTGACGACACCGTCCCGTACACATTCGAACAATCACTTTGCCAGCTTTTATTCCCTAATCTTGAACATTTCAGTTGTGAGAGAAAATTCCGTTTATGCGCATGTCTAAAACCAGGGCGCTTATATATATAAGCGCCCTGCCTAAAACGAATGAACACGGAGATGTGTTTCTGCGCGTGCGTATATATGAAAACAGGCAACACACCACGTGCGATTCCCTCGGCAACTATAATATCAACCTCGTTCCCAGCCTCAAGCAGGGCCGCCGAGAGGGGGGGGGGGGGCAGGGGGGGTAAATTGCCCCGGCCCCCGAGGCTCTGGGGGCCCCCGAGAAATTTAATGTTGGGCCCCAGTCATTTTTTCGGGCGAAATATTTCTGTTTTCGGGCCGAAATGTGCATGTTTTGAGGGCAAAGTACTGAAATTTGGTATGGAAAATTGCGGAAAAGTCCCAGGAAAGTAATTACAACGTACTTGTCCCGAAAAATTTTTTTACCTAAAATGAAATTATTGTATGAAAAATTTTTTTCCGGAAATTTTTTTTGCAATAGGGGCCCCTAAAAATTTTTTTGCCCGGGCCCCCGACAAGCTCTCGGCGGCCCTGGCCTCAAGCCTCGAGAGGTTTAGTAAAAAAGTAATTTTTCGGCTTTCGGGTACAATTTAATCACTAATCGCCCTCCAGGTGATCTCGTGTTCGTATTTTAGCCAATCAGCGCTCAGAAAGGGTTGTCCGAATAGAAATCCATTTTGATGTATTCAGTCAATTATATTTTTCGTTATTCTTTATGAAACTAGTTGAAATTTTGTAATTATGTTTGGTTATGAGAACTATAGCTCTGACAAAAATATGGAATGGAAATAAAGTATATTACAGGAGATATTCAGTTATTTTAATCATAAAATGGATTTCTATTTGACAACTAGTGCCAGTACTTTTCCGCGTATCAAGATCATCTGGCCTGAATGCCATGCTATTACTTATAAAAATATCGCATGTATAATGTCCAGTGCGAGCAAAAGCAAGCAAATTCGTTGTAGATTTCAAATGAAACCATTTCTCTCCATTTCGCATTTCGAATAATAGACTCGGGATTACAAAATACGAATGTAAACTCTCCATCTAGTATTGCTTTCTCGTCCTCTTCGTTTGACAGTGAAGTCAGCACGGCAATCAACGCTTTCTTAGGGGCGGACCATTAGAAAAGTGATGGGGGGGGGGGACTTTTCTTGCATGCACGATATTTTTTTCGACTGCTTTGGCGTTGCAGGAATTTTTTTTTGGCACCAAATTATTTGCACGAATTTTTTTTTCCATGAAACTAGAAGTTTTCTTAACAAAGCACAAGTAACGTATTGAATGAAGGAAAACACTCAAATAAAAATGTGAACATTTGTTATACAACTGAGTCTGAAATGTTGGCAATTTCTCGAATAGTCTGATTCCGGCATCTATACTAAATTCTGGTATCTAACTAAATTCATGCATGCATGATGGCATTTTAGATTTATAGAGTTTTACTAATACAGGCAGCAAGAGATTTGTTGTTCGCCTATTAACAATTTGACAGTCGTGTGAATATCGGAATATGTACCATAATAGGTAATTTTTGAGGGGGTATTTTGGCAGTCGTCACACAACGTCACATAGGGGGTAGGGGGTCTGAAAAATTGACTAAAATAGCGTCACCTATTTTGTGAACGGCCCCTAAATTATATTTTATAATTTCAAATGTTTTTGTTGATATTGTGTACGATCTATACAGTTTTCATGTTTATATTAAGAAAAAGACTAACTATTTTCTGTTCTTTCAATAAATAATGTGATTAAATTCCTTGAACAATTACTTTTGAAAAGTTGTAGAAAACTATTATATATTTTAATACAGCCATGGAGTCAAAAGACAAAGATCTTTCATTTTCCTCAGACCTAGCCCCACCCATTCACCCAAAGCCAAACACCAATACCAGACTTTTTATTAAAAACACATATTTTATACAACATACGTTTTCAACTTCAAGTTCCAATTTATTTTACGAATTTACGATTTCAGTAGTATCTCTGTGCGAGTCAGTTTAATACCTGTGTCTGACTCTGATTAAAAGACATACATGATTACACGAAGCCGTCCAATTCTTATATACCATTCCAAATGATGCAAAGCCAAAGGCACCGCAATTGAATTTGCGGCTACATGGTCCACCATTCTATAATCTTCTATAGACGTCTATAGAAGATATTAAACGACCTACTTTTGTTGAAAGATGACTAACATCGCAGATTGCAAGTCCAGAATAAAATAAAGCTTGGCCCTGTTTTCCAACAATGAACAATCTCGCCAACAATGATTTAATTATATTTTTCATTGCGCTCTGCAGGATTTTTTTTCCTCGAATTTAATCATGCAGGAATTTTTTTTAAAGTTAATTTGTCTTGCACGAATTTTTTTTTGTTTCCCCCCCCCCCATCACTTTTCTAATGGTCCGCCCCTTAGTTCACGGACGTGAGAATGCGTGAGAGTCAATAGATAGCTCAAGATCTACGCACTGAGCTGTATAATAACTGGAGGACCTGCTCCTATACTTCGTTCAGTCAACAAAGTGTCCGCAAAAACATGGCGTATTTTGAGTGAAAATGACGCCATTTCCATGACAACACTTACTTTATTTTCATGGTAGGTACCACTGACCAGGCTCAATTCTGAGCCCACGGCCGTTTTCACCCCCCCCCTGGTTTTTGCAAAACATTTTTGCAGATAAATTATAGTTCTCGACTTCTCGTTGTTTTGAATCCTTTTTTAAAATGTTTTGGAGATAAACTTTCTGCCTTTGAGCATTTGGTCAAAGATATCCAAGTCGTACGTGTTTAATCTCGCCCGTGAAAGACGACAAACTAATTTTAAAAACTCAAGAAATGTGGGAAAAGACGATACTTGAAATATATAGATTTACACTCGGATTTACAAAGGTAAAAAACGTATTTTCATATTCAATTTTATTTAGACTTTTGTATCTTATTTGACATCTACTATCAGACTATCTTTTAAAAGAGGGAATTAAGTTTTGTGTTATGCACCACTTAATTTTATGTATAAGCTGGGGGTGCTGGAAGCTGTCAAGCTGTTCTGGGAATTGGTGGTTTCTACCTAGCTTCCTTGCATGGTTGCCTGGTTGGGGATACTTCTTGATTTTTGTGTCATCTAAATAGTCTTGTAGAGACTTGAGATAAATCACACTTCTCCCTAAGCTGAGGTAATAAGGTTTAGCTGAGGTGTGTGCCAAGGCATACATGTGTGATCGCACCTCATTCCCAGGATGGCCTGTTTTCTTACAAGTTTTCTCAGTAAATATCACTCTGAATAAACAATGTACCTTTATAAGTACACTCATAGTTCTGATACCCCTGGTTTAAGCTGAGGAGTATGTTAGGTCACATTCTTTTGTTTACCTTGATCATGATCACATGCTATAATTATGTTACTGGTGGATTCTTGTACAACCTGTATAATTAATCTATTCTTTTTATTGCAGATTTATTCCACAATGACACACTCCTTCGTGGGTGGCAAAATACAGTACCAAGCCATATTTTTGGAAACTGAACATACTGTATTTTACATGCTTCCAGAAATTATGTCACCTTGGCTATAGGCTGTAGAGTCATTTTCATGATTGAGACATTGGACTAAAACTCATGCCACATTCATGAAAACAAGGCTCCATAGCCAAAGTACATACACATTCTGGAAGGGTCTATTTGACTTTTTGTAAAATTATTGGCAGTAAACAATTCAAAAAACAAAAATGCATAATTTTAATTGCTATAAAACTTATTTACACTTCAATAAAATTATGATAATCATATAATTATTTATTAATTATAATTAATTGTTATGCATGGTATTGTAATTATAACTTCATTTTGTAATTGTTCTGCATGTTCCTCTGCATGTTGATGCCTGTGCCATCTCTTTTGTATATTAAACAGATCATTTCTGCAAAAAAAGACGACATTATTATCATGATACATTATACCACAAAATATCATATACCCATACTTAACCCTTCAAGTGGCAATGTGTTTTGATGTGCCTCACTGTATTATTTTTGCCTTACTGTATTATTTCAGACAATTCAACAGTCCATTGATCCGAGCTTCTAAATTAATTGTCATGTTTTCATTTTCAGCAATGCAATTACATTCCAAACTAACTACTAAAATATGTCAAACTATTATTAGCAAATTTTGTCATAATTTCTCACAGAGCAATCGGACATCACCACTTCCAAACTATGACATCATATACTGTGTAAACTACATAGTTTTATATAGTTCTGAACAGACAATGGTAAAATGTTATCTATTTATTAAGACTCTTCCCTTGATGAGTAAAACATCTGGATTATAGTCTCACCGATAGAGTAAAATAAAACAGGGACCGTGGAGCCTGTTTAAAAGGGGGGGACAGGATAGCATGGGAGCTAATCCACACAGGCAGGCGCTGTCCAGACTTTATCCGGTAAATTTTATTATCCACCGAAAAAGTGGGGGGGGAAGCATGCTTCCCCCTGTTCTGCAGTCCCAGTAAGAAAGTAGCCAGGGTTCATTTGGGTACATTGCAGCTTAATGGGCTGACCAATATATCTCAGGGGCTGCTCATTGGCCGATAGTGTATTAAATTAACCCACTGCGAGGCAGCAGTGAGCATGAACAGTCTCCTCTTAAAATCATCCGGCATTAGACAGACAGAGTAAAACAATAAAGACATATGGCTCATCAGGACAGGGCACATTGTCAAATGTAGGTGGGCCTCCTCTACTCAAGTCTCTCTGGTCTTGTGCTATCTATATCTATTAATTCTGCATTATCATGGGCAAGTATATAAATTTCACATCATATTAAACCTTTATGAACATGTAAACAACCACAATTTATACAAGTAATTAAAAACTGGCAGTCTCTGTCTGGCAATAAAACCACAAAGGCCAGTGCTGACACTAAAAACAACATAATTTCATGTAGTACACAATATTTAATCATTAACAATATTGTGAATATATTCCTGTACATATTAATAGGATGATGAGTTTTTGACATAATATATGAAGGGTCTAGTGACCGACTCAGAGTCTCAGACTAGCTAGTCGTCTAGAAAGTTTAATATAAAAAAGTTTCGTGAATCTTACCTGAAAGAATTAGTCTTTCTTTTTAGTTTCTTTGTAGTAAAGTGCTGCATCCACAAGCGAAGCAAACTGGCGTTGTAAAACAAGTAATGTGCGAGGGAAATATTAAGATTTTTGCTCAAAAACAACAGAAAATTTAAAATATCTTTATATTTACTGCCTTTACTATTATTTTAAATATATCTGTGCAAAAACCAGGGGGGTTAAGGATATCTTCGAAAGCTTAGGATCGCGGTTGGTCAGTGGCAATTACCATGAAAATAAAGTAAGTGTTGTCATGGAAATGGCGTAAGATCCGCCATGTTTTTGCGGACACTTTTTTATCCCGAGCAGGTCCTCCAGTAATATAGTATAGCTCAGTGAGTCATATGGAAAACACGGAGTCTACCATAAAATATGGAAAACACGGAGTCTGACGTCAGAGAAAAATATGGAAAACACGGAGTCTGACCATAGAAATAATAGACATAGAATGCGTGCTCCTATGTCTTCTCAGTAAAAATTTTGTCTCCACAACATGGCGGATTTATAAGGGCATTTTGGCTAGTCCCAGACTCCTGTGGCGTAGAATTTCGCGCGGTGCCGAGAGTGCGAATTGTTTTTTTCAACAAAGTTTGCAAAAACAATTCTATCCAGACTTGAAGTGGAAAAAAAGTGTTCTTAATGGAGAAAAACCCATTCCCGTGGGTTTTTTTACGAAGAGCAATAGTTCTGAACAGAATATATAGAGAAATCGTCGTTTCAAAATACATTTTCAACGTTGTTGTGCAAGCCAAAACAAAATACGAAAAATCAAGACAAACTGAAACTCAATAGGTATGTTTTAAAAAATATATTTCAACTGTTTTATAATATAAATAGAGTTCAATAATCTTTTTAAACTTACACAACTACTTTTTATACTTTTTTATACGTTGCTTGAGCTTGAGGCAACGCTTTTGAAACCATATGTTTTCGACGATCATTTAGGCGATTTACAGTTTTAAATATCAACAACTAAATATTTTTGTTTCAAAAACATGAAAATACTTCGTTTAGATTGAAGAAAAACAAAACCCGACGAAGAATGAACTATCATCTCGTAATTTTATAAAGTAATTAATAATTTAATAAAATACCGATTTGTAACCTATTAGGTTAAATTACATCAGTAAAAAGTCTCGTTATACTACAATAGAATATCTAGATGCATAAAATTATTCATAACTTCAGTTGAAAAAGTTATAGAGTTCAAATTTAAAAGTATTAAAAATATTAAAATTATGGTCTATTCATATGTGAAACCATCTGTGGAAAAAACGATTTCATAAATCTGTCCGTTTTACAACTATAGTTATTATAATCGCTTCCATAACGTGTATTATAGTTATGTTCAAGTTTAGGCGGTAAGAGGTCACCCAATTTGTCTCCATGTGCATTTTTAACAAAAAAACGTTCGCATAATAATCGCCGCCGATCTTTCAGTAAGGGTATACCAGTAATACTGCAAGCTTCTCTATAAGTAGCGAATGGCAAGACAATACGCAGAGCCCGCTTCTGGAGTTTTTCGATATCTTTCGTATTCTGTAATATTGAAGTGCCAAACTTGGCAGGCATATTCGAGTACTGGTCTGATAATGGTGCAGTATACCAAAATTAGAATGCTATTGTCGGCATTTGATCGTTTTAACAACCTTAGCATATAAAGGCGTTTTCCCGCTTTTTTAACAATATGGTTCACATGCTCGTTCCATTTCAAATCATCTTGGATTGAGAGACCAAGAATTCGGGCAGATTTTACCCGCTCAATACAAACGTTATTTATAGTTAACGGTAAAAACTCATGTTTTTCTCTTGCAAAGTCAATTACCATTTCCTTACATTCGCCGATGTTGAGCTTCATATTATTAACTTCACACCAATTATAGATAACATTCACTAGATCTTGTAGTTCACTACTCTCAGTTGATGTAACTCGTTCAGCAAACGTACTGTCATCAACATACTTCCCTCTATCGCTCCAATCAATAAGAAGATCATTTATCATAACAAGGAACAAAGCCGGCCCTAACACCGACCCTTGCGGCACTCCACCGTTTAACGTTTGCCAGTCCGAATGACAGTTAGCCAACTTGACTCGTTGTTACGATCAGAGAGAAAACTTCTAATCCAATTTATAATGGTTTGGGAAACACTCATTTGTTGTAGCTTATTCACCAGTATGTTGTGATCTATTCGATCAAAAGCTTTTTCAAAATCAAGCAAGACTACTCTCACCGCATTGCTTGAAGCATCTGTAGCACTCAGGAGGTGATGGATCAGGCTCAGTAGGGCATGGGTAGCCGAGGAATTTTTAACGGAGCCAAACTGCCGCGTATCAACCTTTGCACCAATTGACTTAAGTAACCGGTCTGTAACAAACCGTTCGCAAATTTTGGATAAAGTGGGGGTAAGTGAGATAGGGCGCAAATCTTTAGAAATGTCTTTAGGGACTGATTTTTTTTTGAACAGGGATAACGTTCGCTTTTTTCCACATTAAGGGTACAACTGCTTCTTGAATCGAAGCGTTGAAAATCGATGCCACAGGGGAAGAAAGAACGTATGCATAAGATTTAAGCACCCAATTAGGTATTCCGTCAGGACCAGATGATTTGGAAATGGGGATGGCGGACAATTTACAGTATACATCTTTTTCTTCGATAATAAACTGTGGAAGGATACTTGTACTGCCATTTTCAATTAGGTCATCAACTGGAAACTTATTCAAGGGAGGAATATCTTGGGTAGATGAGACAAAAACATCATTGATTTTATCTGCTAACTCTTTACCAGCAAAAACCTGGTTGTTTACAACGAAATTAGAGAATGTTTTGTTCTTGGCGAAACCCGCAAGCTGTTTTATACATTGCCACCATTTTTAGCATTGGGGTTTAGTTTTAACTCATCCATCTTTTTCTTAAGGAAGGTTGACTTGAGTCTCTTACTTTCTCTATTGGCAAGATTTCTCAATCTACGATATAGCGGACTTTTGCCCTGACGAAACGCTCTTTGTCTATTTTCTATAATTTTCTTAAATCCGACTGTAACCCATGGTTTATCATGATCGTGCAACTTTACAATTTTACTAGGGAAAAAACAGTCCAAACCAGTATTTATAACCGTTTGAAAAAAATCTAACTTTTGTTCACATGATTCAGCGCGGTACAAGTTGTTCCAGTTTATATCAACTAGCCACTTACCGAATGCTCTCCTGTCATGATTGTTACCTTGTCTAGTTTTCACTTTTGATGTACCATATTTAGCTGTATTTTTATTAAAGGACCACAGTACGGAATTATGGTCACTTTGGCCGACAGGAGGTAATAACACCGGAGAGTTACAACAGGAAGTCATATTTGTCAAAATTAAGTCCAATGTGGAATTTCCTCTTGTGGGTTCTTTAACTATCTGTTTCAAAGTAAAATGACGTAGTAGGGAGGAAATTGGGCATTTATTAAAGTCTCCAATGAGAAAAATACCAGCGTTGGGGTACAATACAAGAGCAGCGTCAAGTTTAGATGTTAGGTGATCGATTAAGGCACAGTTATCATTGGAGGGAGGGTGATAGACCACACAGATAATCAGGCAGGAAAAGCCACGGAAAAGTTTATTTGGTCTCAGGTAAAGCCAAAGTGATTCAAAATTGTCTTCATGCAAATCTATTAAGATTTTAAAAGGAATCTGGTCTTTAATATAAGCACAAACGCCACCCCCGATTCTAGAAATTCTATCACGCCGAACTAAGGAAAAGCCACTAATTTCAACGGCACCGTCATCAATATTTTCGTTTAGCCATGTCTCAGTTATGAAGGCCAACCCAACCTCATTTATATGCAAAATAGTTTTCAGTTCATCAATCTTAGGTAAAAGTGATCGAGAGTTCGCCAGAAAGAAAGTTAATAACTTTCGCGGAAGGCGAAGGGAAACGGAGGTTGGACAGGGATTTCCATTAAGGTTTTCGGGCAATGTTGAAAAAACCGAGCAAACTGGGAGTAACTTTGGGGACTTCGGTTGACACTCATTCCGTGTGTTCTTAAATGTGGGACCATAGGAGGACGATGGTAAGGATGGTAAGAGAAAAAAGGTGGGTTGGGATGGCTATTAACAGGCCGTGATGCCGTTCTGTTATGATTGGTACTGTGGGAAAAATCACACCCGCTACCCTTTAAGCAATAGCCTCGATTTTGCAAAAAGGGACAGGGCACCAAATGTTTTTGTTCACCACGTGGATGTTTAAAATCGCAACGCCTTCCCTTTGCACACCACCCTCGGCGCTTAAGAAATGGGCAGGGTATAGTGCTTTTTCCAGTATTATTATCTTCTTTTTCAAGTTGTGATTTTAGGGGCTTCGAGGTTCTATTCACTAATGTACCAGTATCTTTTTTCTGTTTACTCGGTACTAGTATTTGCTTTGAAGGCAACTCATTAATATTCCCTAGGTCAATGTCATTAGTATTCGGGTCATTGAGTTGTTGACTCAGGTTACTAAGGTCGATATTACTAGTATTCACCTCAGTGGCTTGTTGTCTAACATGTAAAGGGATTTGATTTTGTTCCTGAGGTGTGCGTGTTCCAACAACGTTAAAGCTCGAATTCCTAGGGTCAATATCAATAGTATTCGAGACTATAGATTGTTGAAGATCAATATTATTTACAGTTAGATTAGCACTTAGTTCGCCATCACGAGATAGGCTGTCGTTAGTACCGCGAGACGAGCTCAAACTATTTTTATTCAAGCTACTAAGTTGGTCACTGTCACGCGTTAATCGGCATTAATATAAGCACAGCTACAGCTACAGCTACTATCAGGTGCATCCATGCGTCCCGTATTTATTGCCGCATGTTCGGCTTCTTTATAGTTATTACTTGTTACTTCAACTGCAGGACGTGCTAGGCCGGCAATATTTCGAAGCTCGGATTTAATATCGTCGCTCAACTTCCCATTTACTGTAAGCGACTTACTATCTGCATACCATCTTATAGCTAAGTCGTCTAGTTCGAGCAATTTACAATAACCACCAGATGCCGACCATTTTGATTCGTTCTTTGTCAATTCGGTCATCAACATTTTTAGGCTTTGGAAGGGACCATTCCATTTGAATTTGCCTTTATCACTTACTGTTAAATATTTCACAACATTATCAGTATATTTCTCTTGATCAATGATTAATTTCTTGCCCGAATCATACTTCTCATCAGAGCTCACAATTGTATGATACGTTTCATACGTGTGCGTACTGTACACGCACGTAAAAGTTAAAATCGCTTTACATCCTACTTGCGAAATAACTAAATTAAATTTTATAAAAGGACAGCATTCAGTTTTGTGTATGATTTAATGTGTATCAGTTATAGTTATTTGCACTTATATGAAATTTTAAAAGATTTAAACTTTTCCGTCGCACGTGTGAAAAACGCGTAACTGGAAAACAGCCCTAATTAGGCACAATGCATGCGGGATATCGTATCGGTATGACAAAATCCGTCACTTCGCCGCCCTTATTAGCCTGCACCGTAGACAACGGACATATACTTCTTTGGAAAATTGGAAATCAAAAGTCTGCTCCATTTTTGAACGTACTTTTTTATTAAAACATTTACCGGTCACGCATGTCCGCCAGGCGACGATATTTGCGGGTCAAACTGTGAAATTTTACCGGTCAGTGACCGGTGACCGGCACTTATTTTGAGGCCTGGTGGCATGAATAGATTTCCGATTGTTGCACAATCGATCAATTACTAACTCTATATAGGGCATAAAATATCTTGCGATATTACATATCGTAACCTTTTAAATTTATATGTAAAAATAACATATGTTGATATGAGTTGAGTTTAATAATATTTAGACAGGGATATCCTATTCAGCATAATGCTGGTTTAAAAGGATCCCTGTATCTATGTCTATGATAATTACAAACTCTTTAAACTATACGAAAACAATTACTACATCCAGGCAAATAATTAGTACAAATTAAATGAATAAGTTTGTAGTCAAAGTCCTTTTAAGTAATTTTTAAGACGTCTCTTAAAAGTTAGGAAATTTTGTTCATTTCTAAGATTATTTGGAAGAGTATTTCATGTTCTTACGCCATTTATCCTAAATGAACTTTGATATTTAGAGGTTCTTGCAGCAGGGGGCGAAGTAGGTCTCTGTTTCTTGTTTTCTTGTGTTATATACTGTACGTCGTGATATAAGATTACTTAAAATCAAGAAGAAATTAATGTATGCATGATGAACATGCAGCCGCATGCATGGCCACAGATTCGATTGCCAGAGGGCCAGTCAGTTGCATTTGTCACAGCTGCCCCTGGTGTATCTCCAAAAATGTATAAAATTTACATTCAAAAGTACATTCGTTAGCCGAATGGGGAGAGCGGCGGTCTGGAAACCCGAAGATGCGGGTTCGAATCCCGCTGGAGACAAAATAATATGGAACTAGTTTTCCATATCACTCAGGATGTTCTGAAATAGAATTGAAACACTGCACGTCCTCCAAGACAAGCCTTAAAGTACACCTAACAGACCTGGAAATAATTCTAGCCTTTCTTGGATCCTAGGCCAGGGGGGGGGGATATTTTCTTTGAAAACACTGTCATAAAATTTAGTTGGTTTAAAAGCACTTAAATTTTGACTCTTACAGCTGTTAGGCATTAATTGTGCTTCACAGCCTTCACTGGTAACAAAATCTATTCAATTAATCAATAAATTGGATATTGGATATTAAAAAATCTATTCAATTAATCAATAAATTGGATATTGGATATTAATTAATTCTATTTTACTAATGTTAGCAACTTAGGTCTTAGCATATCAATTAATTAAATTGTAATAAATGATTATATAGTGTAATATAGCTTATTACAGTTGTAGTTATAACTTATAATCATTTATTACAGTACTGCCTAATTTGACATTTGCAAGTTGTGTGATAAAGGAATTTAAATTTCAAGGAATATTTTTATGTATGCTCAAGTGAAAAAACCCTTTTTTGACCGATTTGCGCATTAGGTGATATGACTTATATCAACGTTTTCAGTTCTAAGAAATTTGGGAAGTTTTTAACCTTTTTGTTGATTTTTTGCCAAAAACAATTGAAAATCCTTTCTAGCTTTCGTTCCCAGGATCCACCACTATTTCCAGGTCTGGCACCTAACCTTAATTCTTCTAACATCTCATTCCTAAGAACCTTTGAAATGATATTGTAACTTATTTTGAAGATTTTTGTTTGCACACTTTGTCTCTAAGTTATTTCAGTTTTATTGATATGCAAATGTCTGGAATTTACGTCACATGTGAATAATGACTGATCAAAGAATGTAATGTACAGTTAAGTATCATAAAGGCCAAATGGTGTTTTACATGTAGGTACGTATACCTCCTACAACTCCAAACTTCATTTTAATGAATTAAACTGGATAGTGAATACGATATACAAGCTTTTACTTTAAGTCATTATGCATTTGTGACGTAAATTCCGGATATTTGCATACCAAAGAAACTGAACTTCAAAATATAAGTTATTATATCATTGCAGAAGTTCTTAAAAATGAAATGATAGAAAGAATTTAGGTTAGGTGCACTTTAAAGGGCATTGGCAATAAAAAATTAGCTTATAGTTCATTTGAATGAACTCTCAAGACTATATATTAAACTATATTACAAATTGTTATATATCTTGCTTAATTTTCAAAATATTTCGACTGAAAAAAGTGAGCTGTTCGCCATCGTGGATTATCGAGGTATGCGGCATGTTACGTCAAGAGAGGGATCACGCTAATTTTTTTATCTTGAGAGTAAGCGATCAATATGAGTCCAAAACTTCGTTTCTGGTTGCTGTCTGAAATTTAGAAATGATTAAAAACATTTCAAACAATTTTGGTTTGTTACTCGGTCATTTTATAGTAGCTTTATATGGTTAACCCAACTCCTGATGTCATCAAAACCATAGTTTTAAAATGAGGTCAAGAACACAAGAATAAGAAGGTACAGCAGAAGTGTAACTCGAGTCGGTTCCCTTATTGTTTTACGTCCACGAAAATTTTAACTCGCTCACGCCATCCTGGCTAGTACAACCGGAAGTTTTTATCAGGTGTTGGTAGGTGCAAAGTGCCGGTTGTACTAGCCAGGATGGCGTGATTGATGACGAATCGCTTGTAAAAACGCAGACAAATACTTGCTTGAGTTACACTTCTGCTCTACCTTCTTATTCTGTGTCAAGAATTAGTCCAAGGTGGCGGACAGCTCGTTATTCGGTCTAAATGTTTCGAGAACTAATCAAGATATGACAAATCGGTAATAGAGTTTAATATTATATAATTTTAAGAGTTCTTTTCAATGAGACAAACTAATTTTTTTATTGCCAATGTCCTTTAAGTCTTCGCGAACATATTTCGTACACTTAAATTGGATCGATAGCTGAATGGATAGAGCGGCGGTCTAAAACAGGTATATACTCTCACTTTTTAGATATTGGTGCCGATATACTGGATTTGGCTGGAGCAACTATTGAAGGGGAAAACATAAGAGAAGAAGCAGTAAGAGAGTTATAATTTTAAAAATGAGTATGTGCAACCTTAGAAAACAGCCAGAAACTGCAGACAATCGGGAGTGTTACAATGAGAATACAAGAAACAAACTATTCATTACCATTATATTCCACGCTTCCATGCTTAGTCCCATGTAATAATCTCATGGTCCGGGATCCACCAATTTCATCATAATGCCCTACAAACGAAAAGAGGCTATTTGGTATATACTGTAGGTACAGTACATTTAATATCAAGAATTTCGGGCATCTCTTTCGATAGAAACACAGTAACTGTAGAAGGAACACATGTACATGTACAAACCTCTCAAAACTTATTGTGGACAGCGCTCACGAAAATAGAAATACCTGCATGCCTTTCCCAATACATACGTGCAAGAACAGCAATTTTCAATTCCTCCTCCCCCCGTTCCAGTGTAGATTAGGCCTATAACGGTCGGCAATCGGCTATTTGCCGACAAAAACACCGAATGGCCGATCAATTTCATTCTACGCGGACATTTTGACCCATCAAATAAAATACACAATATTAATTTAAATTGATGGTAGCTTATGTAAAAAGTACTGTTTGAAAAGCATACTATACATAGTGTACCACGCAATCAATAAATATTCGGATGATAAAAAGCATTCAGAGGAAACATTGTCATTGAGCTTCTCTTTTAGCAAATACTGTACTCTCTCAAGTGACCGAATCTCGATAGTAAGTCTATAGCGTTTACAATACAATACTTACTACTTACAAAAAGATGTTTTAGACATTTCTATAAGCCGTACGCGTAGCTATATTATTTGGTACTATATACTTTTATTTCCTTAAGAAACGCAAAGAAAGTGAATGAGCTGTATGAAGTGTATACGTTTTCAAACGTTTGCCAGTTGGCGTATACGCCAAGAATTTTTCTGCATACGTGCAATTGTACGTCCGTACGTTTTTTATCCCAGTCACGTAAAAATGGTTGAAATAGTTGGCCAACTACTCTTTGCCAATGTCCGAGCAACAGTCTTGTTGATCGGACAATATTTGTCAGACCTAAACAGAAACGTTATAATCCTGACCATGCACACTGCCCGTTCAATGTCGAAAGCTTATGAATTGGTTAGGTAAAAGCTTTGTGAAATACATGTCAAAACCAACATTGTATAAGGAGGAGCGGGGGAGACAAAGACACCAGCATATGTACAGTAATACTGTACTTTAGTTTAGTTTTAGTTTACTCCTAAATGTGCGTGGAATTTTTGCCATTATTGTAGCCAGGAGCTGTTGCAAAAATGCAACTACATGCAGTATATGGGCCTTCTGGCAGGAATCAAATTCTCAATATATTTACCCGTATACTTTCTACTGGTATCCCAGAATCATATATTCATGAATCAGCAGTGGTGAATGTTCAACAACTCTGTTGCTCAGTTGGTTGGAGCGATGTACCAGAATCGCAGCGCCTATTGTTGCATTTTTCGCAACTGATCCTGATTAGGTCTAAAAATGTATATAAATTTGCGTTCGAGTATTCCATCTACAAGAAACCCATCTCTTATTTGGTATATACAGTAATGGTAGTTTCGATTTTTTAACTTAATTCACACGAGGACAAATTCCGGGATACACAATATTATACACTGTCAGATACATACATGCAGTAAATATACATGCACCGTATTTTGTTGGTCCTAGAGTAAAGGATTCTTTTAGGTAGATTTAGATTATACTTTTTTCGCTTTCAAATATATGTGTAAATCATCGCTAATGTTATCGACAATTTTTTTATAATTACGTTATTTTTACATAATTGTATTTCAGACATTCTTTGAACTCGCAGAAAATCAAAAGGAGTGGCTAAGGTTAGTTAGAAAATCAGTTTCCAGATTTTCAGTGGTTTAGAATTAGACTTTACATATACTTGTATGCATGTATGTGTGATACTACCAGTGGTGCCTAAATTATTTTGAATTTGTACTCGAGTAAAAGTAGAAGTAATTAACAATAAAACGACTTGAGTAAGAGTAAAAAGTACTGGAGGAAAAACGTACTTAAGCAAAAAGTACAAAGTTACCTTAAAAAACACTTGAAGTAAAAGTAAAAGTACTAATAATTAAAATTATCTGTAGCGTGTAGGGCGGGGGGTGGGGGACTTCTCCAATGGATTGGCATACAAAAGACACAAAACAGCACACGCATTATATGCGTGCACCTAATATACAATATTTCACGGCATAGTCTACTTTCCAAACCCCGTTGAAGATATAAGAAATCCATTAAATAAATAATGCTTATAAGTAAGCCACAGACGCATGTAGAGATCCTATTACCTATCCCAAAATTAAAATAAATCAGGAAAAAATCACGTAAAATTAAACAAATGTGAGAAAGTAACGAAATGCTTCCGATCGCTACAAAATGAAAATAACGAAGTAGAACGTTACTTCTTGAAACGACTTCGTTCCAAGTGAAAATACTCCAGAAAAAGTTTACTTTGTTACATGCTGACTTCTGAAAAATAGTACTTAAGTACAGTAACGCAGTACATTTACTTCGTTACTTGACACCACTTGGTACTACTACATTGGTGGCCATAGGGGGTAAATTGAATGATTGATATAAATATTCAAATATCAAATCACTTTTATAGTCACATATAAAGCTTCCCGTACAGTATACAGTTCACATTACATGTATATCCCATTATCCCCAAATTAGGTCGATTTAAGCACAAGCACGAAGCAGTGGCAGACACTTCGGAGTAATATTGGGGGGGGGGGGGACCACCCCACCTGCCACCCTACGACCACCTTTCGTTGCTGGAAATCTTAGTGCTTTGCCTTGTATTTCATGCAGCATATATAGCATAGATATCTTATATACACTAGATAGCGCATCTCTTTTAGTCTAGGACCTGTATAGGAGTTTGTATGCGTTTCATTTACCACAGGTAATCTCAACTGTTTTAGGGTAAAATGACCATGGCGGTCAACATGGCATATGTGCCAAAATCTGAATCCGGGGCGAAAGTCCTGAAAATGACCCCGCCCTGAAACGGCAGTGCCGACATAGCTCTAACTTCCGAAAAGCAAAAGCGACAGCCTTTCTGAAGTGCTTATAGTGTTTAGAAGGGTTGCTTTTAGGGGTGGTCATTGGAAGGAAAAATTTGTCTAAGTATAATGTTTTACCAGAAAATGACTATGCACCACCCCAGGTAAATTGCTGATTATGCACAAAATAACTAATATGCCTGGCAGAAATTTAATGGTCTTATTTCCTAAAAAAAATAAACATGGGATGAAAAACTATGCTTAATATAATATAATTATTGTAGTTTTCATAAGGACTGTCCTTCTTTTCTGTAAATATAATACATTTTAATTCACTCACCCCCCACGAAAACACGATTTCAGCCATATTTTGTCGTCTTGCTTGCTTTTTATCGCCGAATCTCGCGCACATCATCCAATTGTTGTACTTTCACATAATGATAGATGGCTAAAGAAGATTTCAACAAAATTTCATGACGTTTTGAAACAGTGCAGTGTATTTTATCTTCGATATCGTGTCCTTCGATATTTCGTCAAATTGCCGCCATTTTAATGGCTCGCCGCTTCTCTGCCCGATAAATGCCACTTCTTCGTCTTCCTGTGTGTTTATATTACAGTATCCAAGAGTAGTTGAACGTTGAATATTCCCAATCGAAAGAATGAAAAGATTAGTTGGGTTTTGATTGCAAAACCCTCTAGGTAAAAAATAAAATACAAAACATTTGAAAGTCACGCGCAATCTTCACGAAAACTTCTCGTGGACACATGACAGGGGGGGTTGAATATTTTCTATTTTCACGAAACGTTTGTTCGCCACCACAGCAACCCAAGTAAATATATTATATTTATTGTATTTTTGTGATTTATAATAAAAACACTAAATATTTGCGTATTTTTTGCCGTATATTTTTATGGATTCCTTTAATCCATCTCCAAGAATTAGCAGCTGGTTAGATTAACTGAGCGTGATTTGAAATTGTTGGAACTGTACAGATATAGTGGTAAGTAGTGAAAGAATATTTTGAACATGTGTCGAAAGTATATTTTGACTTGCGATTTAGTATTTTACTAATATTACCAATCAGAGTAAAGAAATCGACGTCTGAGAGCTGAAATGTGCATATTTGATATAGAATAACCTTGAAATGACGGTGCAACGGCCCCTCGGATTTTGTTGTCGTTAACGCTTAAAGGAATCCACAAAAATATACGGCAAAAATACGCAAATATTTATTGTTTTTATTATAAATCACAAAAATACAATAAATATAATATATT